CGGTACGTACAGCGCTCCCCTATAGTACAGTACCCCTTCCTTCTCCTCAAACCCTTCTTGGGTCCCTCTTCCGTCTCGTAGTTCCCGGATTTTAGTTTGCGCGAACACGTCGTTTCTGGTCAGCCCGGCTAGTTCTCGTTTCCCCACCAAAGTTCCCCACACACCCATCGGTCCTCGGGGATCACGTGTCGTTTCTCCGGCGGCCCCTCTCCTTCCAGGTACTCCGGTTTACGCGAGAGAGCGTCTGCTCTTACGTTTCTTCTCCGGGCACGTAGCGGATTTCAAAGAAAAACTTGGAGAACTCCTGTGCCCATCGAATCTGTCTCTGGTTGAGTACTCGTGCGGTTCTCCAGTACTCCAAGTTCTTGTGATCTGTGCAAACCTGGATCTGTTGTTGCGCCCTATCAGTAGATGACGCCAACGACGAAAGGCCGCGTAGATTGCCAGCAGTTCGAGGTCTTACTCTGTATAGTTTTGCTCCGACTTGCTCAGTTTTCTGGAGAAAAAGGCACCCGGTTTCCATTCTTGGTTTCCCTTCCCTGGTTGCAAAGGACCGCCCCCACGGCTCTGTCGGACGCGTCGGTCTCTAGCCTCAGGGGTTTCTCCAGATCTACGTGCAGGAGTTGCTCTTCCGATGCGAACGCCTTCTTCAGTTTTTCGAAGGATTGCTGGGCCTCTTCTGTCCACACAAACTTCTTTTTGCTACTGAGACAATCCGTGATTGGCGCTGTCAAGTGGGCGAAGTTCTTGATGAACTTCCTGTAGAAGTTGCTGAACCCTAGGAACCTCTGTACGTCCTTCCGTGTCTTGGGAGCCTTCCACTCCAGCACTGCCTGCACCTTGCTTGGGTCCATCGCTAAGCCTTTGTCAGACAACTTGTACCCCAGAAACTCGACTTCTCTGGCGTGAAACTGACATTTTTCCAGCTTGACCCACAACTGGTGCTTCTGCAGTCGTTGTAACACTTCCCTGACGTCTCTAACATGTTGTTCCTCATTGTCCGAATAAATTAAGACGTCGTCCAAGAAGGCTACGCAGTTCTTGTACAGCAGAGACCCCAACACGTGGTGCATGAAAGCTTGAAAGCAGGCGGAGCCTGACTGTAATCCAAAAGGCATAACTAAGTACTCAAAGGCACCTAGGGGTGTGAACATTGTGGTCTTCCATTCGTCCCCCTCCCTCATCCTGATCAAATTGTATGCGCCCCGAGGTCCAGCTTGGTAAAAATTTTGCCTTTCCTCACTCGCGTTAAAATGTCGTCAATCCTGGGCATTGGGAAGGTCACGGGTTCTGACACCAAATTGACAGCTCTATAGTCCACTACGAGCCTGGGTTTATTTGTGTCCTTTTGTCCACAAAGAACACCGGACTGCCCCCTACTGCCTTTGATTCTCTTATGAAGCCTCTTTTCAGGTTCTTGTCGATAAATTCTCGCAACTCCTTCATCTCCCTGTCTGACATGGCGTACAGCTTACCCACTGGCAGCTGAGCCCCGGAAGCAAGTTGATCTGGCAGTCAAAGGGCCTATGGGGTGGCAGTCTATCTGCCTCCTTTTCGCTGAAGACCTCCCGCAGATCTGCGTATTGTGGCGGCACCTCCCCTTCCGCTCCACCGCCATCCCAGCCACCCTGGCCACGGTCATTCTTGGGGCTTCCCCCCCTAGACAGTGTTCCAGGCAGTAAGCTGATCCAAAGGTGACTGTCCTCTGATGCCACGCCACCACTGGATCATGTTGTGCTAGCCAGCTCATCCCTAATATTATTGGGGGTCCTGCTAGCGAGGCGACGTGAAAGGCGATGGTTTCCGAGTGCCTGGACACCCTCATTCTCATTGGCGGGGTTTGGTGTGTCACTTCCCTCCTAGAAGCTCCCTGCCATCAATGGTGGTCACTTGCAAGGGAAAATCCAAAGGCAGTAAGTGGAGCTGGTGCTCTAATGCAAAGTCCTTGCTGAAGAAATTACATGAGCTGCCTGAATCCAGCATGCCTTTCACCTTGACTGGGTGCCCCCTTGGGAGGTCTAGCCCCACTTCGATGGCAAGTGCCGCCTTGGGGGGGTCTGGTTGGGGCACTTGTCCTGGTGGCTGGCTTGGCTGTTGTGCCCCTTGATTGGCAGCCAAGCGTTCTCGGTGCCCTGTTCATGTGCCTTTACCACCTCCTCCTCACCCCCTGCGGCTCCCACCATTCCTTGCCAAGCCTTTCTTTGAGGGCAGGCTCTGGCAAATGCCCTGGCCGCTGGCAAAGGTAACACCTTTTGGAGGTTTTCCAATCCTTTCCCTCCTTCTTGCGCCCTTCGCTGGTGCTTGAAACTTCCCGCGCGCGCGCCCCATCTATTTCCATTGGCTCTGCTGGCGGGGAGGGCTGCCTTGGTATTTCAGGAATGCGGTAGTCATGGCAACGTTGCTCTCTCCCTTCCCGCCTCTCCTGGGCCCGCGCTTCCTGGCGCGCGCCAATCGCAAGCACAGCCTTGGTCAGCTGATCCATCCCCTGTGGGCGGGGTGCGCGGGAAAGTTCATCCTTAACCGTTGGGGACAACCCCGCCTCGATTGACATCGGTCTGGGTTCGGAGCCCAGTTCCCACCCGAGGCGATGAACTATCATGGCAAAGCGCGACCAGTAGTCCCTGACTGACTGGCTCCCTGTTTACAGTTCATCAATTCCCGCTTAGTCACACTTTTTTGAACATCAGTGGAAAACATCGCGTCCATCGCTTGGAAGAATTTCCTCAGGTCCTGCATGGCGGAATTCTGCGTCGCCATAAGGGGTCTGACCCATTCTCTGGCCCCGTCCTGCAGGTGACCCACAACATATGCCACCCGCGCCGCGTCGTCTTCAAAATCGTTATGCTGCAAGTCCAATGCGTACTCTATTTCCGTTCTAAACGCACTGTATTCTTGCGGCTTCCCCCCAAACTTGTGCACCAGTCCCGGTACCTTCCTTGCTATGGGGGTGGGTCTGACCTGTGCATCTTGAGACCGCCTTCGTCCAGCCGTGCCGTCAGAATGGCCACATGCTGCTCCAAATCTCGGTTCCTCTCCTCCAGCGTTTGCCCTCCAGCTGCTCCCCCTGGGCGCCTGCTTCTCCGGGCTTGCTCATGATGCTGCCTGCCTGCTGCTGCGCACGAGCAACTTTCAGGGACTGACGGATTGCTATAATGAGTATGAGTTACTCGTGCGTAAACTGGTGCCTCTCTAGGCTGATTTGCCTTGTTAAACCTTTCTGACTGCACAGCCCCTTCTGATCAGGACTGTCTCAGTCACTAGCAGAATCCGGCCGTGGGCGTTTCTTGAATCTCTTCCAACATAAGAGCTGTTTGACACCCAATCGCCTCCGCCTCTCACTGCGCGGGAGCCTTCTGCGCAGGGTGGGCGTGGGTAGCGGGGGACCTGTCCCCTCCTCACTGAGTTCCAGTGAAGAGTCCGTGAGCCCTCTCTCCGATTTTCCCATCTGCTCACTTTTGTTCCTGGTGTTGCGCTTAAATGCTTCCCCCTCCACTGAGTCGCCTCTCCCCCTGCTGCTGGGTCCTTCTCCAGCATCATCCAGGAGCCTCCCCTTCGCCTCTCGCTCTGATGTCAGTTCCCTGACATTTTCATTCCACAGTGTGGGAAGTGGTGGAGACAGGATGTTTTGATGTTACTGTGTTCTGTGAAGTGGGACTATTGTCCTTTCCCCCCCATTCTTTGCTGTCTGATGAGAAAGAGGAAGGAGCTAAGCCAGAATTTTCCAAGTGTATTATATGTAAATAAATGTAGATTAGCCAAATGCTGAGCTACTGAGTTCTGTTACGCAAAATGCGAATACTCTGCGGATCCCTGAGTGTGCTAATGCCTTTTGGCATCAGTCGCTGTGATGTTCGGGCAGAGGAAAGCTTTTGAAGCTCCCGAACGACCAACCTGGAGGGAGAGAACATGCCAGCCACGCATGTGTCTCTGCCTGGGTCCTACACGAGAATAGGACACTCCTAACAGTCCCATCATACCTGACCACTCATCATGCTGGCTGGGAGTTGGGAGTCCAACAGCATCTGGAGGGTCACAGGTTCCCCTTTGCTGATTTATACAGTGATTTAATTTCACTGCAGTTTCTTCTTGGGAGAATTACTACTGCAGTACAATATTAGCACATTGTAGAAGGAATACTAGGTATCAAAATAAAATAAAAAAAATGGAGGGGGGGCACACTTTTGACAGTTTATATCAAATTAGGCCATGGCAAGATCCCCAGGAATTATAGTGTGGAAAAACATGACATAGCCGAAGTATAAACCAACACAGTGGTTTTCTGCTTTTGCCACTAAATTGTGAATTATGAATCTGAATTGTACCATTAGACTGATTCTGAGAGGACATTTGGGCTACCAGCAATTAGCAGTGGGACTGATGTGTTCTAAACCAATGTCTTTCTGGCTCACTGTTCTGTGAAGTTTCCTGGCTTCCCATATGGCAATATTGGAAATGGACATTTCACATAATTGTTCCCTTCACATTTCACATAATTGTTCCCTAATTTTCATTAGTCTTCACTGCCTTAAAAAGAATCCTATTATGCATTATTTTTTGTTGATAGTGAGCCATTTTGGAAGCTTGTTGTTAGCTGGAAAGGTGGGATAAATATATATAGAGAGAACAACCTTTCCGTCCCTAGCTACTACTGTAAGCATATGTAGCTGAAACAATCCCATATCCTACCTCCGATTCCCTCCCCTTCCTTTGTTACTTTTTAAATGTCTATTATTAGACTGTAAGATCCTTAGGGAAGGGGACTCTCAAAGTACCATATTGAAGGCATTACAGTATATTCATAAAAAATAACTAAAATACCGAATGTTGGAAATTACCTTAAGATGTTTGCAAAGGGTGGTATGAAAGCATTTTAAATCAATAAAAATTAAAACAAATATATCTTGTGTTAGGACAGGCAACCCTAATGAACAGCCTATTCAAATGGCAATATAGCTAGGTCTGTTTGTGGGTCGGGTACCACTTGTCTGTGTTTAAAGGAAGGGCCATAGCTCAGTGGTTGAGCATCTGCTTTGCACATAGAAAGTCTTAGGTTCAATCCCTGGCAACTCCTGGTGGAACTGGGAGAGAAATCCCAATCAGTGTAGACAACACAGAGCAGATGCACCAGTTGCCTGACTCTGTACAAGGCAGCATCCTTGGTTCCTGCACTGACATAATTGTAATGGACAAAGCAGGAGAAATTGCAGACGCTTCAAATGGTATGATGATGATGTAATTATTGCAAAACCTGCCATCACTGGTTTGTTGAAAACACCAGTCTGGTAGCCAACTGCAAAAGGGCATGTGAGTCACTGGCGCCATCTTTTAACTGATGTTTGGCGTCTGACTTCACTATGGAGTCAGTATGGATTTTATTATAATGGTTTCTTTCAGAGTAATATGGGTCCGGCATAGGCATTCTTGCAGTCCTTGTAGCTTCCGGAAAGGCTATATTCAGCATTCCTTTTGGAAGATGAAGGAGGATGAATCTATTGCCAGCCTCTTGTGGGAACAGATGAGGTGGAAAAAGGCTAATAAGATTTACTCACCCCAAGCCTCTAATTATCTGCTTGAGGAAAAAGTTTGACCTACGTGTGTGAAGGCATCACATATTTCTCTAAATTTATGCCTTAGCCTTTTATGTTGTACAGTACACATTTGTTCAAATGGCAGAGAATATATGCTCCCTGCTTTTGTATCCACCTGAACAATGAGAACCCTCTAGTTTCGTCTTAGGCTAACAGATTTTTCTTCTTCTTGTGCCTTCTAATATATTAATCATTTCATCCAGCAGAAAACATTTGGTTTAGAAGTTTAAATAAAGTTTAAACCCTAACATAACTCCATTTGCTGTATTAGCATGTACATAAATGAATATTGCCCCATTAATGCACACACATTGCCATTTTGCAGATTTTAAAACTGAGCTGAAGTGCAGCTAAACTATTTGTTTAAGGCCTTTCAAACTTCACAGGCCTCTTTTTCTAAAGATCTCTCCACTCCCATATAAGGAATGAATAAATCATTTCCTAACAGTTCACAGCCTTGTTGCCTGATTAAGATTACAAGTGTGTGTTAATAAAAACTTCTATTAAAACTTTGTTTGCCTAATAGTCTGATGGGACCCTTCTAATTAAGTGACTGGCACTGCTGAAGTGAGGAAATATTAGTCTTCTTAATTATTTTTTTCCTTGTTCTGTTAATTGATTGAAAGCTGAAATAAATTATTTTTATAGTATTCCCCCTCCCCTGCAACACACACACACACACACACACGCGCGCGCACACACACACACACACACACACAGGAGAAGGGAAACGTTGAATGCTTGAGTCTTGACTGCATTTCTAAAACTGCATATTATAGTCACAAGAGAAAGTCATCAGCTTCTTTGAAACTGCAGCAGGAATGATATAGTAACAGGTGTTTAGGCACTCCTCACTGTTTATTGTTAATACCACCTATTTCCATTAGTGGATGAATAACTGATGTTGATTACTGGTCATGTCAGTCAAAACACAGCTTCTTTATTCAGTATCACCTTCCTTCTAATGCCAGACTTGAACAGCCCATTGTCTATCAGTTTGGAAGTGAAATAGGGCTGTGCAAAAGTTAAAGTAGTGGTTTATGCATATGCAGTAGCACCTGTAGCTCTACAGAAGCATATCAGTTTAGAAGTTAAAAGGAAGAAGGAGCAGGAAAGCGCTATGAGTTCCAGAATCTGAATGGTGAGAATGATTGAGCCATCAAACACTGAGAATTTCGAGGGCAAGGATGGAGGGTTGAGAGAACTAGCCTGTTTGAGCCCCTAAGATGTTATAGAAACCTACAGGGAGGATTGCTTTTATTTTATTTATTTAAATAATTTTTATCCCACCCCCACCCAGAGCAGTTTACAGAAAGTTTTTTAAAAAAATCTTCCTCTCTGGCTTACAATATAAAAATACACAACACAAAAAGAAAATGGATTAGGAGGAAAGAAGAAATAGGCAAACTTGAGGACAAGTTTATGTTCAAGGGTCTGTGTGACATGAAGTTAAAAAACACTCCTCCCAAACCAGTCTGGAACAGGAGTCTTATGGCATTGGTCAGAGCTTTTGAGGGGAGGTTTCAGGAAGGGGGAGGGGAATCTTTACCATTTCAGAAGTGTACCCCAGCCCAGCAGCCAGTGTGGTGTAGTGGTTAAGAGCAATGGGCTCGTAATCTGGTGAACTGGGTTTGTGTCTCTGCTCCTCCACATGCAGCTGCTGGGTAACCTTGGGCCAGTGACACTTCTGTGAAGTCTCTCAGCCTCACTCACCTCACAAAGTGTTTGTTGGGGAGGAAGGGAAAGGAGAATGTTAGCTGCTTTGAGACTTCTTAGGGTAGTGATAAAGTGGGGTATCAAATCCAAACTCTTCTTCTTTTTCTGGGGATACTCAAGGGCACGCAGAACACCTTTTTTTCTAGAAGAAAAGCACTGTTTAAAAGTGTGGCAATTACTGTAACAACTTCATGGTGTATACTGGCACCTTTTTTTTCTAGAAGAAAAGCACTGCCAGTAGAAATATAGGGCTAGGCACATAACTTGCCTGTAAGTCAGAGCTTTCCAAACTGTGTGTCGCGGCAGTGTGTACGTGTGTCGCACAAACACTCCTGGGGCTGTAAAGGGGTTAGTTTAACCTCCGGTGTGCTAGTAAAACTGAATTACTGTGTTGCAAAATGATGCCAGTCTAAAAGGTGTTCACCAACATGAAAAGGCTGGGAAAACTCTGCCGCAAGTATACTTAGGACTTGAGATGTGATGGCATCATCTAGACTGACCAAACTGCGCCGTTCCCCAAGATTATAACGGATGCACTTTGTTTTACTCAAGGCAAGGCAACATATAGTCAGTAAGTTTTCCACTATTGCCTACCCCTTCTTTCAAAGCCAATCCAAATTCCATTGAGGTCATTAAAGGCACTCAATTAATTTCAGTTGGCTTACGGCCAGGTTCCCAGTTCTTAGAATGATTTCCTCACTGGCCTGTTGCACTTACTCCTTCTCATATTGGCAAGTGCTTGAGATCTTGAAGCCAAGAGCTTCTTAAACATTCTCTCAGTATTGACTTAATGTTGCATCTCCAGTTTCCATTGCTGATAGTACTCTAACTTGAGGCTTACATGATGCTCAGCACCCAGCCTTGTATTTTACTTCTTGGCTCAGCTGAGGTAATTATTAATCCACTCTGCTGTAAAATTATTCATAAAATGATAAATGATGCAATGCTATGCCAGTGCTTAGTATAGCTAAGACAAATTGACCATTCCATATATATGATCCAAGTTCAGGTATCTACATGTGGACCAATGCCCAGTACTGAGAAACCTTTTGAGAGGATTGTGAAATTTGTTTCTTTCTGAATGCATCCGCCACTTTTCTCATATCTGTGTTCTGCAACTGTGGTGAACTTTGCATTGCATGACACGGGTTGACCTTATCACTCAATTTGATTTGTTTTTAGAATGCGTTACTATTAATTTACCATTGCCATTTTTTGTGGTTTATTGCTGTTTTTAATTGATATTGTATTTGTTTGTTTGTCATTTTTATTTATTAAATTTATATACCGCCCTATAAGGTGAAGGTAAAGGACCCCTGGACAGTTAACTCCAGTCAAAGGTGACTCTGGGGTTGCGGCTCTCATCTCGCTTTCAGGCTGAGGGAGCCAGTATTTGTCCATAGACAGCATTCCGGGTCATGTGGCCAGCATGACTAAACTGCTCTGGCGCAGCGGAACACCGTGACAGAAACCAGAGTGCACGTAAACACCAGTTACCTTCCTGCCACAGCAGTACCTATTTATCTACTTGCACTGACATGCTTTCGAATTGCTAGGTTGGCAGGAGCTGGGACAGGGCAACAGGAGCTCACTCCGTTGCGGGGATTCGAATCGCCGACCTTCCAATTGGCAAGCCCAAGAGGCTCATAGATCTCAAGGCAGTTCACAACATCTTATATCCTATCCTACCTTCAAAGAGCCTAAGAAGGAACACATGAGAATATCACAGTTTATCCTTATCCTTAAAAGTTTATCCTTTTTTTTTTTTAAAAAAAAAAAGGTTCATCTGAGAGATAGTGCCTGGCTTAGCTGACTCAGTGACTGTACTCGCATGCCCTCCTGTACTCACTGAGGCAAACAGAAGCAGTAATCCCTTTCCTGCTCTTTTAAGGCCTGTAGCCAATATCCACTCTAGTACATGTAGGAATGGTTGAGCGACTCAATATTTTTGAATTCCTATAGGTACTGAATTGATCTACATATCACAGACTAATGTGCAGATAGTTATCCACCAGCTTTTGTACTTCTCAAACGTTCTGATATAGTTCTCAGCTAAAGGGAAAGTATCAACATGGATTTTTTAAAAAGGTATATTTAGAAGCAATGTGTTTAGAGAAGCATATTTTGAGAGAAAATATGCAAATAACTGAATTTACATGTGGATTTAAAAAGAAAATTACAAGTTAAGGAAGGAACAGGATGGAGTAGACTCACTGTGAACCCATGCAAAAGTGACACACACCAGCAAACTGTCTTATATCAAATTAGGGCATTGGTCCTTCAAAGCCAGCACTGACTGACAGCAGTTTTCCAGGATTTCAGACGTGTTCATCTCATGTGCTCAGACAACCCAGACCTTCGAATTTTCAGTTAATACCCAAAAGATTGAGTGCAGGTTTTTTAAAGGCTGAGCTCCTCTTTAGACTTCAAGGCTGTTTTCCTCCACAAAAGCTATTGAGCATCTTCCATTGCAGCTTTACAGATCTATAGAATTAAAGCTGAACTCTGGAACTCCCTGCCACAAAAAAAAATTACTGTGGCAAAGAATTTAGCCATTTTTAAATAAAGATTAGATATCCATAGAAAATGATGTCAGTAATTGGCAGCTGATTATTCTAATCTCCATTTTCATCTGTCACAATTTCATTTCATTTCATTTATTTTTTTCTACTGACTTTGCCCTTGCACTACCACTTTGTGACCAGTGAACCTAAGTAATTTTTAGCCTTCTCAAAAGTACCCTGGATCAGAATTCCTGATCTTGATT